CTTTTTGAGATGAATTCAAAAAATTCCCGACGAAAATCGAGATCTTTTCATTGATTGCGATGAATTCCACGTCGTCAATAGATATTAGATGATCAAAGCCATGAGCATGTATCAAGCTGTGCACAAAAATAAATCGACATTTAAATGGTTTATAGCAGCAGCTAAGTACCTTCATCGCCATTATCGGATGCTAAGAAGAGAAATGACATTAGTGAATTATTTACAGATCAAAGGTGAACTAAATAAACTACATAATTCAGCTATGGAAAGAACCAGGGGAATTACCAGGTTCGTTGGCCTCTTCTTCAAGCCCAGTCTCATCTTTTGGCTCCGATTCAGCCTCTTCATCGTCCTTCTCTTCTAATGATTCATCATTACTCATTACATTAACGTACATCACATCAGTAACCAAATGGTAATTTTTTTTAGATTAATCGATAATTGAAAAAATCCCACTGACAATTTTACAACTTAGCTACTGATATCTAGTTATGACTCCAAGGATTTATCTATAAAGCGTATTTCTTTACCTGCTACATTCTCAGGATTATCGGAACCCTCTGGCTCGACAGGAGGTTCCTCTGCTTCACGATTATCTTTTATTACGAATGCCCCACAAGAAATTAAAAATCAATAACCCTTGGAAATGTTTATAAATTGCATTAATTGGTTTACCTGATGGATTTTCCAGATCCTCTGGCTTTTCCAATTGATTGTCATCATCAGAGTTATCAAGTTCTTCATCTACATAGATATGTAAATAGATAAAACATATGAATAGAGAAAGAATTAACAGTGGAATTTCAATTTCCACTGGTAATTATCTTCATTCATATGTACATCGACTCAATATAAAATATCCTATTGCCGTAAATATTTATCATATACATCTGATAATAGATGTGATAAACTCACTTGGTTTTGGTGTCACTTGGCTGTCGTCTTTTTCTGAATCGACTGGACCAGGCACTGGGGTCTCTCCATTCTTCAGACAATTGTGAATGTACGCGGCTTTCCATTTCGCATATTTTCTGTTCTGTGCTGCCTCATCTGTCAATTCACCAAATGTTGTCAACACGTCGTAGAGCAATCCAGCTGTGTAGAAGCTCTGGATCACATTCTTGTTAAAATTACTAGCGCGATCGTTTTTGTCAGCAAACAGGAATAATTTCAGAGCCCAATTTTCGAGATGTGCTTGGGCAGCAACTTCGTTAGTTATCGCTTCGTTCTCGTGGTGTTCCTTTTTCATTGTTTCCAACCAATCCATGAGTTTTATGAGGAAATTTCTCTCGTCTGGGCCCTTCGAGCTCAGCTTCATGCCACTTTGCAGGGCATACAGACGTGCTGTAATCATAAGATAAATCATAAGAGTAAAAGAAATAAATCGAACGTCCGCCAGACATGCAATGCAATGATGGACTAAATTAAATATTCTAATTATATGTACATTCAAGATTGAATCATATATATCATTATTTAATATTCAGTTAATTGAATCTATTAAAAATTAATTGCTTCAGTATTTATCTCTCCCTCGAATATTAGATAAGGATTTACTGATATCTGTTATTGTTTATGTTATATTAGTATGTTATATTAATATCTGTTTCGGTATCTTAACTAGTGTTTTTAATTCTCAATTTATTTGACGTACCCCAGTAGCTGACAACAGGATCTCGTTGGTCATGTTCATTAGCGATTTTCAAGTACGGTTGAATACTTTTGAGGCTCGCCGGGAGCTCTGGTAAATTTGGAGATGGCATTCCAGATGATAGTATTTAAAAACACTTTTCTATTATCCAAGACTTATCCGGATTTATCTACGTAGTAAAAACTCAATTTGATGTCACGATGACGGCAATAATACTCATCAGCTGTCGGAGAATAACCTTGTTTTTATCCTTTGGTGCATAAGTACAACCAGAGAGGATTGACTAAAGAAGAGGCTCAAAAGAGGGAGGGCGCCACACGCAATGCGGGGGTGTTCATCAAGTCGACGGGGTGAATTTTATTTTCTGCGGTATGAATGCTTTTTGTTTTTTATTGGTTTAACTGAAATTTAACCGACTATAGAACGAGCGGAAGGGGGAAGCCACATCTGTGGAATTTTAAATGAAAAAAATTATTCAATAGATTAAAGATATACTCCTAATGAAATTATATTATTATA